CATCATACCCCGTCAATAGGTGGCGGGTCCTAGCGTGTCCCTGCTTCCTTCTCCTTCATCCTCACACAGCAACAAAGCTACATTTGGCTTGTAGTCCTCAGGTATATCTTCTATGGGAAGTGTCTTGTGTCCAGAGGCAAGTGCAGATCATAGGCTGTACTCACATCTACTGAGTAATACTGCTCTAAGGGTTTCTGATAACCATATGATCTTTGGTCATGGTACCTAGCAGTCCCTTTTATTTCTTACTTCCAGTTAGTTTAAAATATATCAAGTGCCTGTAATTTGGGCTGAGTTTAATTTCCTGTTTGTGTCTCCCACTTATAAAACAATTGGAGTATAATCTACAAGTGTTTATATTCACAGATTATTTTATTTTGAGACAGGGCTTCACCATGGCCTCTGTGGTCTGGAGCTCACTATAAAGACTGCTGACCTCCAGCCACTGAGCTGGGGTTAAAGGTGTATGTCACCATGCCTGGCTTGATTTTTTTCCTTGGTTTTTAAGTTTTACTCATGCAGTTTATGTGAATGGGTATTTTGTCTGTCTGTATGTCTCTGCACCACATGCTTGCCTGGAGCCCTTGGAGGTCAGAAGGGGGTATCAGTTCCCTGAAACTGTAATTAAACATGGTCATGAGCTATCCTTCATATGAACAATGGGAATCAAACCCAGGTTCTGAGCCATCTTTCTGGCCTCAATTGTCCCTCTCTTCAGAGAAAAATTACCTTTTTGTTTGCTTGTTAAATAATGATCATTTTCTGGGGTCTGCTGTTTTTGTCCTCTTGAATGAGATTGTGTGACAGGGTATGCCTCTAGGGGAAAGACTATTCCATTGTGGAAAACCATCAATTAACAGGAAGCTCTTAAAAGCTCCCACATTCATGTATCTTAAGTGATTTATATCTCTATGGGAAGGCTGTGTCAAAGAAGTTTAAGAGTATGTTACAAGGAAACACTGAAGCAAAAGGCAGTTTTCTTTTTCTTGCTCTTAGCCCAATAAATTTGAGTATGATTCCAATGTACATTCAACACACTGTTAGAGCCTTGAGTGTTCTACAAGAAGCTCTTAAACCTGCAGTAATGTGCTTTATGCTTTTCAGAGGTTTTTATTGATTTCCACATGCTACCACATACAACCCTCACATTGACTATCTACAAGAAGTAGATAGGACGTGATTAATTCCCTAAAGATAAAAAGTAAAATCATAGCCTTTTTCTTTGGAGAAATTATGATACTAAACTTCTGGATCCTTGATTACCTTCTATTTACAATGGAATTTCATCACCTTAAATTTGGAAGAGCTAAATGAATGGCATTCAGTGAGTAATACTGTACTAAGGTTGCAGACATCTGTATTGTTTACTTCAGCCTTAGTAGGGAGGGAATTGTCTGAGCCCAGCATTCATGAATGCCAGGCAAGCTCTCTTTCCATCACGGAGCCACATCCCCAGCCTATCGGAAATTTTAATAACATTTCTTTTCTGTCCTTCCATTATACGGCTAGTGGCTACAGTAGTATATGGTGGGTGGCTTTGGTGACTACCTCCTTGTTCATGTTAGCCTTTTTCAAAAGATACTACTAATCATGTGGCTTTCTGTTGATTGAGAGACTTGTTGGTACCTGTCTTGTTTCTCCCCTTTTGTAGAGGATCTTCAAATGCTTCCTTAAAGGAAGAGGACTATAAGGAGCCTCCGCTCTTCCGCTCCGGGGATCACTACCCCCTATCAGATGGAGATTGGTCCCCATTAGAAACGTGAGCATCTTTGAATTTTCTGTTTTCCTAAGGGAAGGGGAAGGTACATATTAGTAACTTTATGTTATTTTGATAGTAATACCACTTTCCATTTGTGTAATAGTAGAGTAACGAGCAGGTAAAATTTAACATGAATGTGAACTGTCTTCAGCAACCATTTTGTTCCTAAATTTAATCTTATTCTGATGGTGTTTGCCAGTTGTAAATCTGAATAATCAACATAGAATTTGCTCTACTTACTGTTAAATTCTAGTTCTTTGGTATCAAATAATATAGTAAAAGAATGTGTGGCCATACTGTTTATTTTCTATGATCAAAGCTTCATATTTTAGATTATTTTTTAAATTTATGTATTTTATGTGTAAAGATGTTTTGTCTGCATATGTCTATGTACTGTATGCATGCCTGGTGCCTACAGAAGGCAGAAGAGGAAGTTGGATCCCCTGGGCTGTTAGAGTTACAGGTGATTAGAATTAGCAGATGATAGTGAGCTCCATGGAATTCCTGGGAATTGAATCCAGGTCCTCCAGTTCTTTACCCCTGAGCCATTTCTCCAGTCCCATATTAAATGATTATAAATCCTGCCTTCCTATGTTTTCTGTCATACAAAATTGACTGTATCATTGATTTCCTGTGAAAAGCAAACAAATAATACATACTGTAAAGTGTCAATGGGAGACCTGGAAGAAAAGTCCTTAGTAATCACTAACTGGCATTTTTATTTCATTAAAGGACTCAGTGGAGTGTTTGTACTTGTTCTTGTCATTGCAGCACTTACTCCCAGACAGTGTGTCCTAAGAGTGACTCGGAGCTAGAGGTGAAGCCATCAGAGAGCCTGCTCAGATCTGAGTCTCACATGGAGTGGACTTGGGGCGGGTTCCCAGAGTCTACCAAGGTACTAGGGCAGAGTCTTTCCCTCTATTCAATGAAGGAAGCAATTTCTTATTGAGCTCACAGAGTATAATGATGGCATTGCCCTCTTGTGGCTGAAAAAGCAAATAAAAAACATTTTTTTTAAAAAACATTTCCACTGTGCATTTACTTACTTGAATACGATCTTTTGTGTTTCTACCTACCAAATAATGTTGGTTACAAATTAATAAAGAAAAACTAAATTAAGATACATGAAAGAAACTAGCATTTCTGTAGTAAAATTTTAAATAAATCACTGAAGTTAGGGTGGGATGTAGCTTTCAGTTGGTGTTCTGGACATTGGGTCCCACCCCAGCATGGGCAGGAGGATGCTGATAGAACTTTCCAGCTGCTCACAGTAAAAGAATAATAATGTACTCACTGAAAGATCTGTTTCTTGAAAGAACACCATTTAGATCCTCTGAAGCCAGTTTTGTAGAAACAGAAACTCTCTGTTTGTGATTGAGAGCTTCAAGTTGGCTGTAAGCAGCGTTGGTGCATGAGTGAAGTTTCCCTTAAGATGAGCATTTTCTGCCTTAGATTCTGAAAATGGTCTATACTGTTTGCTACAGTGTTTGACTTTTCATGATGACAGTTACGAATGTAACCTGTAGCGACATCATGACATTGAACAAATTAGTTATTTTTATCAGTTTATCCTGTTACACAAAATACAGCTAATGAATGAGTTACCATATAAATAAAATTAACACAGTAGGTTAAGAAATAGAACATAAATTCATTTAGTAAATTTTTGAACACTTTACCTTTTCAGGTCAGCAAGAGAGAAAGACACGAGTATCATCCGAGGACAGCTACAATTACACCATCAGAAAACACTCATTTTAGGGTAATTCCCAGTGAAGACAGCCTCATAAGAGAAGTTGAGAAGGATGCTGCTGTTGAGGATACTGTCTGTACCATAGTGAAGCCCAAACCCAGAGCCCTGTGCAAGCAACTGAGTGACGCACCTTCTGCTCAGCTTCCTGAACTGCCTCTCGAGCTGCCTCAGATTTCATCTATGTTAGATGCAGACCATGTTCCCAGCTCATCCTCAGTAGAGGCTCCCTCAGAACCCAAACCAGCTGCTAAAGTAGACTCACCAACAAAGAAGAAAGGTAATTATGTGTTTGGTGTCACATACCATCCATATAGATGGTGTCTCACATGCTGTTTGACAGCTACCTTTGTACTTAGCGTCTCCAGTCAGAACCTATCCCGAACTTCATTGTGATGCCTTCAGCATTGTGGCTTCTCCTACTCTCTAAATTCCATCAGACAAGACATTAGTGTCCTTACTGTTGGCTTTTGAGTCAGTGCTCAGTAGGCCTTTAAGAAGTGTTTACTAAGAAAGTAAATAGAGATCCAATCAGTTGATGAGCACAGTGACAGTGCCATTGACACTGTGAAGAAGTCCTATGTATATTCCCCAAGTATACTAAGTATCTGCACTGTGCTTTTAAACTAAGGTCCTACCAAAATTCCCATGTTGTCTTTGATTATTAACTAAGTATGCTAGTGAATGGAATCTTAAATGGCCTTTTGCTTAAATAGAAGTAAAAGTGGAATGCAGAAAAAGTTTTCCCAGATACTTGCTCAGCTGAAGCAAAACTAATCTTTTGTAGGTTTTTTATGTTAAAAACAAATGTTTGCTGGGGGTTGAAGAGCTGGTGCAATGGTTCTTAAACACTGCTCTTCCAGAGGGCCTGGGTCTGATTCCCAGTGTCTCCATGGCAGCTCACAGCCACCTGTGATTCCAGTTCCAGGGGACCCAGTGCCCTCTTCTGGCCTCTCTAGGCACCAAGCACAGAGCCATGTAACAGGCAAAACACCAGACACCAAAAATTAAATCAAAATGTTTCTAAGTGTCCCACTAATTATTAGTGCTTTCTTTCACTAATTTCCTCCCTAAATTGGTGTGGAGAAGGAGAAGGTTAGCCCTGTTCACAACTGTTTTACTCTGTATCAATTGTCTCAGGTCACTCTTGTTGCTAAAAGATACAAAAAACTACCCCGTGAGAGCCAGAAACCACATACTCTGAATGCTGGCTTAGACCCTATATAAGGGAGTAAAACCTTACCTAAAACCACCTGTCATCTTTAGCTGAGTGCCTGCTTCATGTTAAAGAAAAAAAAGAAAGAAAGGGAACATGAAACATTCCATTTTCACAAACTGATACAGGCCCAGATCATTCAGAAATAAGTTGTCAGAAATACACGTGTGGCTGTCAAGGGTGTTTGTGGCTAACTCTGACGTCTAGCTGATAGTGGCTGTCACCAAAATTCTGCATCCTGTGTTCTGTTCTAAGAACTGCTAAGGGACATGACCAGTCCTTGCATGGGAGATGCTTTATTTTGATCTAAGACACTGTAGGAATTCACAGAGGTAGGAGCTAAAATGGTTCCTACCATTTCTTAGCTTCATTGTCTCCACCCCCTCAAACTCCATTATGAAAGTTTTATACATCACTTAATGACAGGGCTGTTGTCTGAGAAGTATGTCATCAGACAACGTAGTATTGTGTGAACATCATATTGTTTTTACGTGGTATAAATCAATCAACCTGGCCTCTTGGTGCCATCAGGAAATGCAGGAAACATGAAATGATGCTGTTGGCAGTACAGAGTGACGCATGATTTTAGATGTACATAATTGGATTGCTCTACTAATGCAGGACCAGCAGTGCCGTGGTGCTTCAGGTACTTTGTCAGATCTTGGGACCACCGTTATCCAGTGTGCATCCACTGAAGGACCCTTATGTGGTACAGTGCATCACTGTGCCTCCCTGCCATCTCAACTCACAAATAACAAGTTCTAGACTTTGTGGACATCGAACCCTTAAAGACCCTGGGATTTGCCACCTAAGTATATTTTCTGTAGAACTACAGTACTATTGACAGACACCCAGAGAAAGAAAGAAAGAACGGTGTAAGCAAGGGCAAGGTAGTAACCCCGCTAGGGATTGGTCCTTGGGCCTTGCTGTAGACTGATAGTGCATCCTGTTTAGGAAACTTCATGTGATTGCAGAGTTTAAAATAGAAAAAAAAAAAAAAAAATGGAGAATGGATTCTTACCTCTGGTGTGTTTTTCTTTATAAAAAACAGGTGTTCACAAAAGAAGTCAGCACCAGGGACCTGATGACATTTACCTTGATGACTTAAAGGCTCTCGAGCCTGAAGTGGCAGCTCTCTATTTCCCTAAAAGGTAGTGTATATTTGTGCAGTGGGGTGTGAACAGCTTGAGAAACTCCAGTTATCTCATCTGAGCAATAGGAACAGAGTGATGGTCTTTTAACTAAATCTGCTTATTGCTTAGGTTTGGGGAAGCTTATAGTGTGTGTTGTTTTGATACTGTAGTGACTTGAAAGTAATATGTTGTTTATGAAACATTTGATACAAGAGAGAGACAGACAGACAGACAGACAGGGAGGGAGGAAGAGAGAGAGAGTGAGGGAGAGGGGGGGGGTGTTGGTACTATAGTGCACACCTGTTGAGGGCAGAGGACAGCTGAGTCAGTTCTCTCTCTCTGTCACGCAGGTCCCAGGGATCAAATCAGGTTGTCACACTCTCACAGAGCACTTTCTCCTGCTCACCCGTCATTCAGCCTTAGTTTACTGCTCTTTATAGTCCTTAAATAACAAACTGAATGTGCTTGAGGAAATTCTTTGGCATTTGTTTTGTGTGTTTTAAAATAGTACATTTTAATTTACAAACATTTTACAAAGAATTTCTTCACTCCTTTGAAGAGTATGCAGACTCTTCTGAACTTGAGTTGTACAAGGCCCCATTCCAGGGGACCCTGTGTCCCCATATTGCCCACAGTCCCTACCTTGTCACAATACCATTCTTCCCATCCCTCATTATTTTAAAGTAACTTGGCCATGTACCTCATCACTGTCCTCCTAGGTTGATTTTAACCTAAGAGGAATTACTACTTTAATATGCTGATTATAAAATTCAGTTTATTTTCTTTTCAGAAAACATGACTTGAATCTACTGTGTCATATACACAGTTAAATTCTTTTATATGCGTTATAGCAAAACATACTTCATTTTTACTTGGAATGGAAAATTGAGATTGACATCAGTATATTTAAGATTTTTTAACAGATATTTTTGGGACATTCTTAAAGTTCATTCCTAATTCTATACACTTAAAATACCCACAGCCAGGCAGTGGTGGCAGACACCTTTAATCCCAGGACTCAGGAGGCAGAGGCAGGCGGATCTCTGTGAGTTCGAGACCAGCCCAGTCTACAAGAGCTACTTCAGGACAGCCTCCAAAGCCACAGAGAAACCCTGTCTGCAAACCACCCTCCCCTTCCCTCCAAAAAATACCCACATACTTTATTTGAAGTAATGGGTTTTTAAGGAAAAAATTGAAATTGCTCCAGCTTTTTAAGGGTAGGAAAGATTAAAATGTCATCTATTAGATTTATGAATTTGTCTCCGATTTTCCAGTCATTTTCCCTTACTTTAGCACTAGGTTTTTAAAATATCCTTATATGGGAAACAGGGAGCAAGGCCAGGCCTGCTGGCACACACCTTTAATCCCAGCACTCAGAAAGCAGAAGCATGTGGATCTCTGTGAGTTAGAGGCCAGCCTGGTCTACATAGTGAGTTTCAGGACAGCCAGATGGAGCTGTGTAGTAGAAAAACCCAGTCTCAAAAAGAAAAGAAGTAAAGAAAACAGTCATGAATGCAGTGGAATCTTGCCATACTTGGTTTTGGTTTTACTGGTAAAGGTTACTGTGTGCTCATTAGCCACACTTAGCATAAGGGCTGGAAACTGGGACATGTCATAGACTGTTTTATTAAATGTGAGTGTGCTCTGTTGTGATTATCACTTTGTGTTACTAGACATATTTTATACAGCTAATGTTCACACTTGTCCCATCATTCCTGTGGGTTTGGCAGCATGTTGAGTCAAGTGTCATCCCTCGTGTTGACATGCTCTTGTGGTTGAACGACACCAGCTGCTGTAACTGATAAAGCTCGATGTATTACTGTTGGGATAGCGTTCCAGCACTAGTGTTGGTGGCAGGCCCACACGTAGGCATTCTTTTATCTCATGGCTCCACACGGGAACAGACAGGGATAAGAGAGGGGGCCTCAGTGTGGAGTTTGTAGAACTATCTCCCACACTCACAGCTTAGTCAGTGGGTTACAGAGACTCGCCGTGTGCCCGGTAAAGACAAGGCATGACTTATAGAAAACACATCTGTCTTCTGGTTTTATCCAAGTGTGGCGTTGCCTCTCTGCCCCTCGCTGTATGAGTTTGCTTCATTGCCGTATTTCAGTGGGCTTGGCTGTTTAACCATTTTTAATGAGGAGATGGTCTCTCTGTCAGATTCATCTTAGTTGAAGATGTGCATTGCTATGAAGAAAAAATTGCCCCAAGCATAAAGCTACATCCTACTAGGAACGTGTCTACATAGCTACCTACACTCTGCTACTGCCTACTGCTCAGGTTTTAGATTTTCTTTTTTCAGAAGTTCATGTTAATTTCACCAGATGTTATGTTTTGTTTTGCTTCAATAAAACTTAAAATCCTGGCTTCTTGGGTTGGGGATGTCACTTAGTGTCTGTTCCTTAGTGGCCCAGTGCCTGCCTTGCCACACATGAGGATCCAAGGTTCAATCCCCAGTACTAAAAAAGGAGGGGGAGCAAGCTTCTAGAAAAAAGAACTGAACATCTCAAGTACTATGCTAAAATACTTGCTGAAGTTAGAAGTAGTTAGCCTTTATAACTAAGAAATGTAATGTGCCATTTCCTTTTTTCACATTTATGTTCTATTCCAAAAGGTCCAGTGTGCTTGCCTTCAAACTTTCTGTGCCTTGTCTCAAAAAATACCAATAGCAAGGTCCAGACCTCACTGCTACAAAGAAGGTCTGCATTGTTCTAGCCTCCTAAGTACTTTTTCCTTGAGTATTTTTTTGCTTTTTAATTAGATTAGTTTTAGATAGCAGTAAGATGAATTTAGAAAAAGCTTTGGGTTTTGTTTTAAGGACAAATCTTGGACTTAGTAATTTTCTACAGACTGTGTCTATTACCATGCTTTTTTCTTGGAATGCATCGATCAAAGGGCTTCCAAATGTCAGATTTCTCATCATAGCAATTTAAGTCAGTGTTCTTAGCTGTTTTACTCCTGCAGTTACAGTCAGGAAGGCTCCAGTTGGAAGGCTGGCACCATTGAGTGTGGCTTTGTGAAGTGTTCACTATATTCGTAGTTAATTTCTTAGTGTTCAGATTCTTGCTAATGACATTTATGATGTGATTTTTTAAAAAGCTCTGGAGCAGGGGGTCACTGGAAAGATGGCTTGGTGGATAAGAGCACTCAGCTGTGAGAAGCATAAGAACCCAAGGTCAGATCCCCAGGACCCACATAAGAAGGTCATGGCTCTTCATGTGTGATGGGGAATGTACTGTGTATGTTTATCTTATTGATAGTTAAATAAAGTACTGTTTGCCCAATGACACAGCAAGTTAGATGGGACTGGAAGTCAAAGAGGATTCTGGGAAATGTAGTAGAGAAGCAATGATCCAGGCAGGAAGTGACATAGCAAGGAGACTCATATTTAAGCGAAGGAGAAACAGGAAGTGCCCTCTTTTCCCCTCCGTTCCCGTTCCAGTGGCACAATGTGATCCACCGGCCAGGAGGGACGCCAACAAGGCGTCTGATAAGATAAGTCTTATAAAATATATAGATGTATGATAATTGAGACTGAGCTAACAGATTAGAATCCTAGTCATTAGCCAAGCAGCATTGAACCTAATACAAGTTTCTGTGTATTCATTTGGGTCTAACTCGGGCAGGCGGCTGACGTAAAACTTACACGTGGCTGTGGGGCTCAGGCAGCTTTTGGCAGAAAGATTTAACGTAACACATGTGCCTCTGACTCCAGCCTTAGGTAGTGGGGACAGGAAGATCCAGGAGCTCTGTGTGACCAGCCTGGCCCAAATGGCAAGTTGGCTGCCCTGGTTTGCAGCAGATGCATCTGAGAGTGACAGGAAGACTCGCGACTGATTCCGTGCTCTTCCTTTTCATGTGTATTTGTTACCCCCACACTTGCATGCATACATCATGCACTCATACAGTCAAAGGTTATGTCTGATTTTCCATCTCTTCCTCATAGGGCTCTAGAGTACCATGTACTAAGCCCAAACTAGAATAAATCCTTAGTTTTCTTTCTTCCTTCCTCTGCAACAGTGACACAGATCCTGGCTCCCGGCCGTGGCCTGAGTCCGACACATTCTCTGGCTCTCAGTCCCCACAGTCTGTGGGAAGTGCGGCTGCAGACAGTGGCACTGAGTGCCTTTCAGACTCTGCCATGGACTTGCCTGATGTCACGCTTTCCCTCTGTGGTGGCCTCAATGAGAATGGAGAGATTTCTAAAGGTATGTAGGATGGCCATGCCTGTCTTCACCTTAGAAGGGCAGCCTGGTCAGAACTTGTGCCCAGACATCTGTTCAATAAGTTACTGGCATGAGGAGAAGAAATTCGTGAAATCTGCTTTTAAACATTGTAAGATGTCTGGATTCTTGACTGGCCTTGTGTGAGTATGGGTACCTTTCCATACAGCCTTGTCCTTAGAGTTTTACAGTGTCTTGTGTGGGGTAGTTTTGTGAGGGCCTCTACCTGGAAGACACTAATTTCAGATTCAGAAGTTAGTAACAGACTGTGCTATCTGCAGAGCAGCAGGGTGGGTCATGCTGTATTGATCTTGTATGTAAAGCTGCTGAAATATCTGTGGGGGGTGCCCAGCTGCCTTCCTTCCTGACAAACACCAGGACTCACTGAGGGAGGGCTGTGAACCTGTGGGACAGTGGCTCTCCACTGAGGAGATAGTCAGTCTGTCTCAGGCTTGAGAGATGTCTGTCCCATGTCCTTCCTGCCTTTGCTCCCCATCTCCCGTGGTAAGAATTAAATGCAGAGCCTCACACGTGCATGCCTGGCAAGCAGTGTGACATCAGCTGCTGCTGAGCCCCTTCTGCTGTAGTTCAAACAGCACTTGAGTCACGTTGCCTGCATTGACCTTATGTAATCCAGGCAGATCTGGTCTCTCAGTTGTCCTGCCTCTGGCAACTTTATATTCACTTCAAATTAAAACTTTTTCTCAGTTTGGCCCTTGGCCTGTAATGGCGTTCCCTAAAAGGCAGGATTCCTTTCCATGGCCAACACCGTCACATCAGCACTATCCTTTGTCTCCTCATGCCAGAGAACTAGAGCTGTAAGAAGAGAGACTGGGTGAAGACAGCCTAGAGCTGCCTCAAATGGCAGCAGGGGTGCAAGGTGGTAGAAAGGTGGGGGGGTTATTTTATTTTGGTTTGGGTTTTAGGTTGTTTGTTTGAAAAATGAAAGTGTCTTGATAAATATGGAAAACATGGTTTCTTCTAAAGCCTTTTTTTAAGCCCTCAAGTCCTTTAGTGAAGAGTACTGCAAGCATCTCCATGGGGATCTGTGCACTCTCACCAAACTGATGCTTGCTTTGCTTTACAGAAAAGTTCATGGAGCATATCATCACTTACCATGAGTTTGCAGAAAACCCTGGCCTTATCGACAACCCGAACCTTGTGATACGGATATATAACCGGTAAATACCATTGCCTTCATCATTGCTAAGTACTCTACAGTTTTTAACTGTCACTGTTTTCCTTGCTGTAAAATTCGTCATTGCATCAATGAGCCAACACACAGTGATTTGCCAGTGAGACTGAAGCTTCAGCTTCTTCCTGCATCACTGCCGTGCTATTACTGTTTTATGGACTTCGCTGCTTCTCAGCTCACACAAGTTTGGCTTAAAACAAATTGTCAAAATTTAGTTGCTCATTTCTTTATTGGAAAGAATAAGCAATTTGATTATTTTTTTCCATTTTTCCTCTGGTCCCCCAACCCCCTCTCTCTACCCAGCACTTTCCCCAACCCTGCTTTGCTTCTGACTCTCTGTGTAATGGGTTTGCCCAATTTTTGTTTCTCATAGTTACTACAACTGGGCTTTGGCTGCTCCCATGATCCTTAGCTTGCAAGTATTCCAGAAGAGTTTGCCTAAGGTGAGTGAGATGCATTTGAAGCCTCCCTCAAAGTATCTGTAACATGCAGCAGCCCAAAAGTTTATATTCTGTACTACTTGTTCTACTCAAGGTAGAACAAGTTGAGAATAATATTTTGTGTCAGAGATCCAAACTGCTGTATTCATCCACTAAATCCTAGGCAATTCCCTGGCCTGCCACGTTTCCTTGTTTCTGTTAAATATTCATTTATACCGGTTTCAGAGATAGGCATGAAGAGTGCTCAGGGGTAGAACACTTTCCTGAATGTGTGATGGTCTGAGTTCAGTCCCCAGTAGCACAAAAAGAAGGGGAGTGATGGGATTATTAAATCATTAGTTAAAAATGCAATCAAGGTCTTCTCAATATGAGAAGCAGCAGCAGGAAGTGGGTGGTGTAGGCACCAGAAAGGTGACTTCAGTGTGGCTGGGACACCTGTTACGTAGAACTTTCTGCCTGCCCACAAGATACCATTCGCCTAATCAGTCTCTGTATCATAAAAGCCGCAGGTTCCCAAGATAAGTGGTGAAAACTGTGTCTGCTTGTAGAACCCTGAGGTCCACTGGGCCTCACACCACAAAACTGCCCTGGAGCTTTGTCCTTTCCAAAGGAATGTGTTGCCTTTCCTTCTGGGCTACTGAAAGCACTAACTGGGTTTGAGAGGTGTGCAGAGCGTCACTCATGCTGTAGTAAGGCACTGTCCTACAGGAGAATGGTAGTGAGGAATCAGTGATTTACAGCCATTAGATCACCTGTATTGACCCACACTGTTTGCAGGCCACAGTTGAGTCCTGGGTTAAAGACAAGATGCCAAAGAAATCTGGTCGGTGGTGGTTTTGGCGTAAGAGAGAAAGCATGACCAAACAGGTAATGACTCTGATTTGTTTTTATTTTTTATTTATTTATTTATTTATATTTATTTTTTTGGTTTTTCCAGGCAGGGTTTCTCTGTGGCTTTGGAGGCTGTCCTGGAACTAGCTCTTGTAGACCAGGCTGGTCTCCAACTCACAGAGATCCACCTGCCTCTGCCTCCCGAGTGCTGGGATTAAAGGCGTGCGCCACCACTGCCCGGCGCTGATTTGTTTTTAAACAACTCTTTTTCTACCACTCATAAAAAGATAGGGTACAGGCCCTGTTTGGCAGTGATAGTGGCCAGCAGTTCTGATGAGTCAGCTGCACGCAGGTGCTATGCTGATGCTTGCTACAGATGTCTGAACTGCCGTTTCTTTAGGAAACTTGGAGTTTGTAGACAGAACTGGGCAAAGCCATGTACTCTGAGTAGTGAGGGTGGAGATGAGGTAACCTTGAATTTGACTCCAGAACTGTGCTCTTTCTGCTTCCTACATTACCTCTCAGCTGTGAACAAGAGGTTACAATCCTGCACAGATCCACATACAGTCATACATACAGATCCACATACAGAATACCCCTTTTAGCAAAGTAGCAGGAGAGCAGGTTTGTCCAGAGACCCACACGAAATGAGCCTTCTAAAGAAGAGACTACTGGGAGTTTCACCTGTTGTTTTTCAGATAGCAGAGGATGGTCCTACCTTAACCAAGTTCATGTCTATATCAGTGTGGTCTCTGGCTGCCTTTCTCCCTTCTGCAGGTGACAGACAGAAGATACCAGTGGTGTCTCTACCAGAGACATGGCCATTGGGCTAAGTATATTTTGTGGGCAGCTTTTTGCAAGCAGGATATGATTTCTGCACTTCAGATTCAAGTGGAGAAAGTCCCTCAAGGTTCCAGTCATGGGTGGAGGTTTTTGGTTTTCTCAAAAGGAGTAAGTCTGGAGAAAACATTGTACACTGACATCATCATCTTTCTTTCCAGCTGCCAGAGACCAAGGAGGGAAAATCTGAGGTCCCACCAGCAAATGACCTGCCTTCCAGTGCTGAGGAGCCAACCAGTGCCAGGTGGGGAACCTTCTTTCTCCTGGCTCACAGCACTTGGGCGGTCCTGCTTGGCAGTTACATCAAAGTTGATCTCGGCAGTTCTGCTGAGTTTTCAGCCAGAAATACCTTTTTCCTATAAAGAGACATGGCATAAAAAGCTTGTCAGTGCCGCTTGGTAGATAAGATCACCTGTCTTAAATACACATCACTGCTTCTAGCTCCTGTGCCTGTCACAGAGCCTAGCTACTAGGAAAGGCAGAACTTTGGGAAAGGATCCTGGACATACTCAGGACAGCTGTGCTAGTATTCTCTACTCCCCTGCTTTTCAGGTAGCAGAAGGGACATGAAAAAGCTTTTGAAGGGTGGGTTATGGGGACTTTGTTCCCTCCTTTGGGCATTTGAGTGGCATGGCCTGAGGAGAGTTGAGCATGCTCTGTGTACTTACATTTCCAACCCCATTCTTTCATCTCTCACATGGCAGCCCTAGTCTAGGAATTTGTTGTCTCCTTCTTACCCCCTCTTAGAGAAGAAGTATAAAGTGAATTTTCTAACTTGGGAAATATTTCCTGCTATGACCGTGAATGCATGTTTTGCCAATGATGTTTTAAAACATACAGAAGTAACTCCCTGCCACTCACAAGAGGGAGGCAGATGGTGGCCTTTTAAATTTGTGGTGACGGTAGTTAAGGCATAAGTACATGGATATGGATAAGTGGTGGGAAAAACAGCCCTTGCTGTCCTGGAAAGGGTTGAAGGGTTATTTGTTTTTGAGACCAGGTCTTCCTATGTAGTCAAGGTTTGAGCAGATCCTTCTGCCTCAGCCTTCTGGAGACTGGGATTATGGACATGCAACACTTGTTTATTTTTCTGTCCTAAAGTATAAAAGCTCACACCTTTCAAATACCCTGCCTCTTTGTGACTAGCTTGGTGTTGGATAGGCCTGCAGAGAATGATACTTCCAGTGATGAGGGGTCACAGGAGTTGGAAGAAACAATCAAAGTTGATGCCATCTCCATGGAGACATTGAGTCACTGTAGCACAGCTTCATACAAGAAGTCTCTCCGTCTCTCTTCGGACCAGATAGTAAGTATTTTGCAGTAGAGTTGTGTTTGTAGGAGAGCATCACCTCAAACCCTGGTGAGCAACTAGGGCCACTCAAGGAGCTTGTGACCTGGGTTCCTCCCCACATAGAACTCCTGCTTCAGTTTCTGGAAGTGAACCAAGGAAGGCGTATTTTTAGCGGGTTTCTTTGGTGAATCTCACTCCTCACTCAGCACAGGACTACATGTACTCCCTTTTGGGATTTGTCACAGCAGAGCAATGGCATTTTAAATGCAATTTCCTACATCTGTCTTTGACACGGTTTTACTGTGAAATGGCTTCACTGGGTTGAGCATGAGACTGTGGCCAGACAGTCATCAGTGATTTTAGGTGGGATGGATGATAGGGAGGTTTTGTTTTGTGTAGGGTATCAGGAAATCCTTGGAATGGAGAAACAGGACTCAAGCAGTGCTGCTCCCTCAACCATTATGACCATGCTTGAGTTGTGGCTAGGCCACATGCCAACACCGAAGAAACCACATGCCCTGAGTTTTGTTGTAAAGCTTTAAACTCCATTCCAAAGTCTGTATTTTCAGTTTTCACTAATGTTATGCTTTTTATGAAAGGCAAAATTGAAGCTCCATGATGGCCCCAATGACGTCGTATTCAGTATTACAACCCAGTATCAGGGTACCTGTCGTTGTGCGGGTACCATTTACCTGTGGAACTGGAATGACAAAGTCATCATTTCTGACATTGATGGAACAATAACCAAGTAAGTGAGCAATCAGATAGCAGGAAGGATTTGGGGTGGGAGAGCAGTCCGTCCTCAGCAATAATGAGAGTGCCTTTTAAACTGTGTGCCCTAAGATGTCCTGAAATCAGCCCAAAAAGAGTCATTTTTATGGGCAAGGAGGAGGTGTGTGGAACATACAAATGAATTCTCAGAAGTAACTTCAAAAGATTGACTATTTGGTTCCCAAATTCTAATGTTCAAAGACAACAAACTGTTAAGATCGTAGGGATGAGGAGAGAAAAAGAATGTGCTGGCAGATTATCTCGGAAAATAAATACTGTGCTTTCCTGTAACTCCCTTTTTGGGAGCATCTCAGGGTGCATTATTGCAGGGTTGCCTTGAAGTTACATGGAGTCAACGATGAAACCAGCTTTTGAGAGTGTCCCCGACTTGTACCCCTTTGCCTCCCAGTGCTTATTGGAAGCCAATGTGGAAGATGCTCAGCTGTATATGTTGGTTTCATTTCTGCCCTCTTGCCAGGTCTGATGCTTTGGGACAGATCCTCCCACAACTGGGTAAAGACTGGACTCATCAGGGCATAGCAAAGCTCTACCATTCTATCAATGAGTGAGTACTCATTCCCATGTGTCCTTTTCTCAGCTTTGCTTTGACCAAGAATTAGAGAAAAATGATATAAATCTGTATACATCGTGTTTTCAAAAACCTTTTGTATCCTATTAGTAAGTTTTATGTGCCATAACTCAGCTAAGATCTGGGAACCACCGACTTTCCTAGGTCATCAGAACTGTAACTGCTTGTAGCTAGTATTTATCAGGACAGCTGACTTTCATATCTAGTTTATTTACTGGGTCGGTAGCATAAGCGTGCTTGGAAAACAATTCCTCAAGGTAAGCCATGCCATCTTTTTTGGGATCCTAGCATGTCCACATGCCATTGATCTGGAGACATATAATGCCATCTTCAACTTAAATTGAGAATACCAAACTTGAAAATCAGAGTATGTCAGTTACTCAGGTGTAATTATGCCCCCTGTCCTATAGAAGAATAGTTTGTGACCTAAAAACTGAGTAAGGCCCCTTAGATAGTTCCTTTATATAGCAAATACCTTACAGATAGTCCAGTTCTGTCCACTCTGGGTCTTTTTCTGAACTAGGTGTGGCATGTATTTTAGCAGTGCTTTGCAGCAGTTTAATGGAATCCATTTTTGCACATTTGCTTTTGTCCCATGGTTTTCGTTTTGTTTGTTTTGGTTTTTCAAGACAGGGTTTCCCTGTGTAATAGCTCTGGCTGTGCTGGAACTAGCTCTGTGGACCAGGCTGGTCTTGAACTCGCAGAGATTCGCCTTTCTCTGCCTCCCGAGTGCTGGGATTACAGGCGTGCGCCACCGCCGCCCGGCTCTCCCATGGTTTCTAACCCAACTGGTTTCCTTCTAAGTTGAATAATTTCATTTTCAAAGTAAATGAGAGGAACTTAACTAGGGAAAAAAAAATTGATTTCCTTTATCCAAAAAGACTAACCTAGTTAGTGGCTAACCTAGGTTGTTTGTATGTGTGTTTGTGTTGTTTTTTAGGAACGGTTACAAGTTTCTATACTGTTCTGCACGTGCCATTGGCATGGCCGACATGACCCGTGGTTATCTGCACTGGGTCAATGATAAGGGAACAATCTTGCCCCGAGGCCCTCTGATGCTGTCTCCCAGCAGTTTGTTCTCTGCCTTCCACAGGTAGCTTTCCAGAGGGTTCCTGCAGTGGGGGGTGGCTGGAGGGAGTGGGGGGGGGGGTGTTGTGCTGGGGCACAGGGCCTAGTGGAATGTGTGAGCAGACAGCTCTGACAGGTTCCCCAGGCTGTAGAGTGTCTGTTTTTCTTCAGCCATTGGCTCAAAGGTTACTTCACAGTGTGACCCTTCCCACAAGCATTATTAGCCCATGCTCTGTCATGAGCAGATAGGGTGATGGGAGGATGAAGATCTGTCCAAGGACATGCTCTAGTAAAAACTAACATTTTGAATTTGGTGATTGCATTTCTTTTTCTTTAGGGAAGTGATAGAAAAGAAACCAGAGAAGTTCAAAATTGAGTGTCTGAATGATATTAAGAACCTGTTCGCCCCGTCCAAGCAGCCCTTCTATGCTGCCTTTGGAAACCGTCCTAACGTGAGTGTCTTTGGGGCATGTGCTGGATCCTGTGTGAACAGAACTCAGGGAGAGGTGCATTTTAGGGGATAGCCAGGTCTAAAAGCAGAGTAAAATGGCTGTTCTGCCCAGTGGGATCTCACTTGATGTACACCCCACACCTAGGGCTGGAGATTAGCTGTAGAGTCTTGTACATTCTAGGCATGCACTCTACCATTGAGCTGTGTTACTCCTTTAAAAACTTGTTTTATTTTATGTGTATAAGTGCTTTGTTTACGTGTGTGTGTGTGTGTGTGTGTGTGTGTGTGTGTGTGTGTGTGTGTGTGTGTGCGCGCGCGCGTGCGTGTGCGTGTATGCACTGAACCACATGTGGAAGTCAGAAGAAGGCATCAGATGGTTTTGAGCCACCATGTGGGTGCTGGAAATAAAATCTGCAAGAACAGCAAGTGCTCTTAACCATGAGTGTCTTTCCAGTCTCTTTTTAAAATTTTTGTTGAAACAAGATCTCAGTAAGTTACCCAGGCTGGCCTTAAAATTCTGTAGCTTAGGCAGCCTTTGAACTAGAAATCTTCTTGCCCCAGACACTTGAGTAGCCAGGATTACAGGTTTGCACTAGAGGCCAGGCTTATTCAAATTTCCTTAGAAGTTGGGAAGTCCTGTAGTTACCTTTTGACCCCAAGAGTGTATACAGAAGGAGTTTATTTCCTCAGTAAGTTCTGCCTAACTGGTCTTGAGCCATGCCCTTGAATCTACACCAGAACCTTAGTGCACGTGCTCCCTCTTGATTGACAGCCTTCGCCCTGCACCGTGTTGGGGGTTGTGTCCTCCATATCTGGGCGTACTGAAGAAACTATTTCAATATTCTCAGGGGACTCTGCTTTGCTCCTTTGCTGCCCATTTTCTGACTCCACGTGCAGTCTCCAGTCAGTGTAGTGGTTCTGGCTTATGAGGAACCAGCTAAGTTTTTATTTCTTCTTCAGGATGTCTATGCTTACACACAAGTGGGAGTTCCAGACTGTAGAATATTCACCGTGAATCCAAAGGGTGAATTAATACAAGAAAGGACCAAAGGAAACAAGTCATCGTAAGTACATTCAGGTTGTGGCCAGGTTACAACTCAGGACAGATAAGAACTGAGACAGGCCCAGCCAGGAGGAGCAGAGCTGTACCTCAGTGAGCGCTTTCCTTGTGGATAGCAACTTAAGGAGTCTCTGGTTATTGTATGTGTGGAAGAGTCTGGACCCTGGGGTAGGGCTGAGCAGCCCTCCTACTGTCATTTGAATAGCCAGTGTCACAGCCCATGGTCTTGTTCTAGACCTGAGTTGTAAAGTAACAGCTTGTGTCTCTTCCCAATCCCTTCCAGGTATCACAGGCTGAGTGAGCTTGTAGAACACGTGTTTCCACTTCTCAGTAAGGAACAGAATTCTGCCTTTCCATGCCCAGAGTTCAGTTCCTTCTGCTACTGGCGAGACCCAATACCTGATGTGGACCTGGATGACCTAGCTTGAGCAGGGCCTGTATGGCTAGGTTGGGGCACTGTCACTCACCTCCCAGCAGAGACGGTAACTGGCCCTCCTACAGATGAAGACCCAGGGGCTGGCAATCAGGAACCTGCTTTCCGGAACAGGGACAGAATCCCCGAAGCTGCCGCCCTCTTTGACCTTCCCAGGCCACCACTCAGCACCTGGACAGAGGAATCAGGGACTCAGCCTGAGGTACAAGCCTGTGTTCCATTACACGTGGGCCCTTACATACTTCCTGTGGAGTTGTGTGCTGGGCACCACTCAACTGCATAACTTAAATGGAAGAATTTAGAATCCAAGAAAGAGTGGACCAGCACATTACTGCACAAAGTAAAGAGTTAAAATCTCCACTGGTCAATTGAGGTCGCTTCTCTATATAACCAGGGCTTTCTCCAGAGGTCCAGTTAGTGTTGCTGGCTACGAGTCCATGTCCTCCTGGGACACTTCCACTCTTGCTCGCTGAGCTAGGACAGCTGCTTCCTGTGCCCCCCCTCTTCCTGTGTGCCAGCACCAGGAGCCCAAGTGCACCAGCGTGGGCTTTCAGGGGAAGAGCACCCTTGCCTCATCATCGCCTCACCTGTGCCTGCTGCACAGTGAGAAAGAAGCCGTTGAAATTACTGTTTTAGCTTGGCCAGAAGAACAAATGGATATTTCATGTCCAGAGTAATAGTGAGAAATTGATCTAAAATACATAAAAGGCAGCAGTTTCACCTCACAAGTATTGAAAGGCAGTTGCACTGGGTCCTGAGAGTTACCCTTTTCTCTGACACTGTCACCTGGCTTTAGTGGCCCTTTGCAGGTAGATATTTCAGGATTTGTGGATTTTGGGAATTCTGGACTTCAGAGTTGCCAGGGGAAAAGCCTTTAGCTAGTGGCATTGACCAGTTATTTGGATTCCAACCATGTAATGAGTCCCTGGAGGCACGGGAGAAAGGGGTCGTGGAGGGCCTGTTGATAGCCAGCACCTCAGCAGAGATATACTGCAGATGAGGTCATGGGGCTGTGGGGACCCTTGCATTTCCTTGGCAGCATCATACACTGGCCTAGTTAGGAGCTCTTGTTAAATGTCAGAGCAGATGGCACCAGGCACAGTTATGTCCTGGAGTCTCCAGAGCCTATGATCAGCTGGGTGCGGACAGTCACTGCAGCACGAGCATCAAGAGAACTTTTGGCCGAAGGTGTCCTAGAGACAGACCTTTAGTGGTTCTTGGTCACAGTCCTCCACTGGGAAGATGGAAGTGAAGGCTTCTGAACAGAGAGGGGACTACAGATAAAGATGGGTCTGTTTCCAGCCCTACAGTTGGATGGCTAGCCTTGTCATAGTGTTTTAGTTTGCTTCACCCAAAATGATACTCACCTAGAGTTGGTTTAGAAAAGGGGTGGTTATTTTCCAGATTGGAGAGTTGAGTGTCCCTGCCTCATTTTAGTATTGCAGTTGAATGCAGAGACCATGGTAAAATTCTTTAATAAAAGAAAAAAAACCCTTTGAACGTAGTTCTCAGTGGCAAAACCACTGGAAGCACATGCTCCCAGAGAAGGGCAACACAGGCTTCCACAGTGCTGACCTTCCTCATAAGTAGTTCACATCTCCTTCATGAGTTATTTGTGTTAGGCAATAGGGAAACTTAGTTGTTTATGTGAAATTCTTCCCAGTTAGTGAAATAAGATTCTGCTAAAGCAGCCACCTGGCCACCTCCTGGGACTTAGCACGCTTTAATTTAAAGAATAATGAGAGTTGTGTGTGCCTAACCTGAGCTTAGTAGAATCTCTGTGGTACAGAAAATCTTATCATGTTTCCTCCTTAGATTGTTTTAGTTTGTCCTCTATGGAGTTTTTGCCTAGGTAGTCTGTTTCCTTTTCTTGACAAACTCTTTTCTTTGGACACATGGGCCTTTTCAGAGGACCCAGCTTAGGGTCTGGGGCCCCTGGCCTGTGCTGACCCCTCTGCCCCAGTGTCCATTAGCCCTGCACTTGTCACTACAGATTGATCCATGGGTATTTAGGCTAATGAAGGTAACTCTTTTTCCTTATTTAAAGGAGTCTTCTCGCTGGAAGCAGATGATTACTGTTACTGTAGTGTTATGAAGTATTAGGTTTGTGCTGAAAATCCATTGCCATTTGTTACAAATGACATTTGTTCTTTCTGTGAAAGAGAGATGCCCTCACGTGTGTTTGCACACAAACCCTTAGGTGGCTTGTTGCAGTATCCCCCTTGTCATCAGTGACAGGTGATATTGAAGGGACACTGCCGGCAGATTGGCCTCCGAGTCACTCTGTCAGTTGCTGCGTCAGTGAAATGGCCCCTCTGTCCTCCAGTTCACTCTAACGTTAGTGTTTGCTTTGATGTCTTTTTGAGTGTTGAAGCTTGCACTGCTGCAGAATTGATGGCTGCTCTCCCTCAGGCTGTGTAGGATGCGTACGTGGACCTGGGGCATGCACACTTAGCCCCACGATCAGCACTGCATTCCCTGAGGTCTAACCCATCTGCATAGTTTATGTGGAAAAAGAAATGTACTATTGTGATGACCCGAAACTAAAGCTGCTAAAAATCACAGAACAGACAAGGACCAGAGCTGGAAGGCAGGGAAGCTTCTGTCCTTCACAGCCCCTTTGACGAGGGTGTGGGTCCAGCCACCTGTAGTGCTGCTGAAAGCACAGCATCTGTGAGAGAGAAATGGCTAAGACCACATGAACACCTTCTCTTTTTGCAAAGTGATTGTTGCAGGAGCTTACCTTACAGCTTTATTGTATAGCTCTGAGACACCTTGTTTCTGGGCTTGAGAGCATGCTGGAATTTATTTTAAACCCAGTGAAGTTAAGTGCTCATTCCAGGTGAAAACTTGCTTTGATTTGAAGGCAAAAGAAGGATTGTGCTTTGAATAATTATGTTCAGCTGATGACATATTTGATCATTAGACAGCATTGTCACTAAGCAGTTTAAGTTGTGAAATTGTAAACATCAGTGCAGTACCTCAGTTATGGCAAAGATGTCTGCAGATGAATGGTTCATATTGTGGTGCAGTGTTTGATGTTCACAACAAAATGTTACAATAATAAACTAACATGAACCGAGTGCATTGGGCTCTTTCCTTTAGAGGACATTTGACCATCTTACCTGTGTTAGTGCCAGAGACTCATAATTAAAATTCTATGAATAGCATTTTTGTCTTTTCTAAAGGAGGGACCTCTTCCTGTTGTCACTTGTAAACCCTGATTCCAGAAGCTCCATCCACAGGAACTAACGTCTCTGCCTTGTAGGTTCTTCCAAGAAGTGATTCATTCATACATCATTTCTCTTAATAGTCTAGCTGCCACACCAGCCCTTCAGAGCCTCCAAGGAGTCCTGCTCAACCTTTAGTACCCCACGTTTATTAGGCCCTTCCCGAGGTATGTGGCAGGTTACAGTCCCGATGTTTCCATCAGGTAGCGGAGTGGGCGTGGTCTCTGATCACAACCCCATGTAGCATAGGTGACAGGAGTTAATGTTCTTCATCCCCTCAGATCACTGGGCAGTGGACACTGCACCTGTTGGTCACAGATTCTTTAGTGCAAATGTTTTGTTTGATGATGCTTTTCTATGATGAGAGGCTGGGGTGAGAGAAACCACTGGTGTTTTGGGTGGTGTGCTTTGGCCTAGGAAGGAATAGTGTGACTATAAAGAAACGGGGTTTTCCTCAAATTGGTTTAAAGTGCTGTGAGACCAGAGTAGGGTTCCGTTCATGGGCCCAGAGGACCCAGCCTGTCCGTCCTTCTGTGCAGTCCAAACCCCTGTAGCCTGCATGTGTCCCTCCCTCCCTCCCATCATAGGATGGCATAAGGAAAACACAGATGTGTGTTTAGGAAGCAACCAGGGCCAGACAAAGTCACTCTTAAGATCCATAGGCCTGGACTTGAGGGGTCTACTTCCCTTGATGCTTCACATGTGTGGGAAGCAAGAACGATTGTCACTGGGAATGCTGGCCACGTGCTAATCTGGAAATTATTTAAAATATACCTTGAGCACACTTGCACTCCTTCTTGGAGGTTCCATCTAGTTGTAGTTTTTAGTCAGTCAGGCAGTCCTGTTTGGTGATGGTACATGTTGGGCAAAATGCTCCAGTCCATAAGAAGTACTGCCTTTATTCCAGTAACCAACAGCTCCCTGACTTCAGAAGCTGTACCTTGAAGATGGTGCCCTGTGGTGTATGCCAGTCCTCCCTGCTTGGGGGGACTGCCCGACCAGCCTGCGAGACATAACAAGACCCTGTCTCAAATTTCTTTATAGGTCATCAGAGCCTTAAGCTGAGTAAGTATTTAATTTTATACCTCTGACTCATGGGCACATGACTTGTGGGGTGTGGTGACTTAGGGGGGCTGCTTCAAATTCTCCTCCCCCAGACAAGCCCTGCCTATCCTTGTCTCTCTCTCTCTCTCTCTCTCTCTCTCTCTCTCTCTCTCCTCTCTCAC